CTGGATATGAGGATGGCTGGATACGAGGCTGGCTTCTTCTTAGTCACATGGACATTCAGCCAGCATTTGCTGCGTACCTATGACCAGTCAGTTTCGGATAGGACCCTGTGGGCATGGAGATGGATTGGCCACCTCCATTTTTCTGGGTCCAAGGTGAGGCAGCCCATCACAGAGGAAAGCTCCTGAGCTTATGGTAGGGTCAGGAAGCAGAGGAAAGAGGGTGTAGGGATCACAAGGAGGATGCATTCTTTCAAAGCATACCTCCTCTAGACATGCCCACCTGCCTAGAGCTACCACCCAGGCAGTCCGTTAAAATTTGAATAGAAAACTAAGTTACAGCTCTCCTGATCTATTCATTCCACCTCTGAATACTCCTGCAGTACCAGGAGATTTAGGGGGGGAACCTCATACCCAAACCACAACACCGTGCTCCCTGTGAGTTGATGTTTTCCCTCTGTGTCTCGTGGTACATGACCTTCACCTATCTTTCCTCAAGGCGGGAGGTTGGTGTGATTGCTTTCTCCTTTTGGGACCCTCTACTCTGACTCTTCCCTGCACAAACTCCAGGTGTTGTCTTTTCTCTATATATATAACCTGATCTTTCCTGTACCGGATATCCCTTGAGTTCCCTGATAGGAGTGGATGCAGTTTGCCTGAAAGGAGACCTATAGAGCCCCCCCCCCCCCCCAGCCCTGCCACAGACTCAATCAGCAATCAGCAGAGAGATCTGTTCAAGAGTCCCCTTTGACACGTGTTGGGATTCTTCCAGGCTAAATCTGCAGGTTCTGGAGAACTTCCATTCTGACAGGCAGCTTGGCTTCCTAGAAACAACAGGCGACGTGCGATTGCTGGCTGGTGACCTTGGGCAGGTTATCTCTCTTGTTTGAGTCATCATACAACCTGCCTTGCAGGTTTAGTGAAAAATTAAATGGGATAATGTGTAATGACATACTGAAGGAGTGGCTTGCAGTATGTTAGCGTCACGATTACTATCTGGGAAATGATGCATGTGGCTAGAATACACAGGCATTGGCTTCTTGATTGGAGCAACTAACGGTTCATAAACCTTTTCCAGATGGATAAATTAACTTTTTAGTGCAGACCAAGCATCCCTAACCCAGAAAATCTAGAATTCAAAATTCCAAGATCTAAAAGATTTTTCAGAGTCAACATGACATCACAAACAGAAAATTCCACACCATACATAGAACTTTGGTTCATGCACAAAATTATTAAAAATATTGTATAAAATTGCCTTTAGGCCATGTGTATGAAATATATATGAAATATAAATGAATTTTGTGTTTAGTCATGAGTGCCGTCCTGAAGGTATCTCATTACGCATATGCAAACATTCCAAAATCTGAAAAAATCTAAAATCTCAAACACTTCTGGTCCCAGGCATTTTGGAAAGAGATATTCAATCTATACCTTAACCTTAAGTCAGAGCTTATAGCAAGGAAGGACATTTATGAGGCAAGTGCATGTTCCATATTTGGGAGGAAATGTAGGGCTGTGGCTAGGAGTCTGGGGCTAGCAGCATGCATCTAAATCCTCCTAAGCAACACAGAGAAATGATTACCTCTCCCACCATACATATTATTTTCAAAATATTATTCATTATTATTATTATTTTTTTTTCCCAGTGCTGAAGATCAAACTCAGGTCCTCACAGCTGCTTAGGCAAGTGCCCTACCACTGAGCTGCACCTCTGGCCCCTTAGGTGTTATTGACAAGTAGCATTTTAGTTCCACTTTTTTATATTCCCAAATCAGTATTATACAGATTTACATAATCCATGTATTATTTATACAATCAATGCTTGAATAGATTTTCAAACTTCTTTACCATTCTCTTTATCATTGCTTCTTTGTGTCTAAATCCTCTTGCTTCAAAAAAAAAAAAATCCTCTTGCTTCAGTTTTCTTCTCCAAGTTCTTTCTTCAGTACTCTTTGGTGAGGGTCTATGACTGGTGGACTCTTTCAGCCCACTGTCAACTGATGGGTATTTTTCTCAGCACTTTGCAAAGCTGTTCTGTTGTCTCTACTATTCTATGATGGAGATTGTTCTTCCTTCAATTCTTATTTTGTAGGTAATCTGTCTTTTCTTCCTGGTTACTTTTAAGATCACAGCATTATATTTGGATTCTGTAATAGTATTATGTGTCTGGAGTGAGTTTATTTCTATTTATCCTTTTTGGGAGTCTTGATTCATGAGTATGTGGACCAATATCATATGGAATATTCTCGGCTGTTATTTCTTCAAATACTTCTTTTATCCCAGTCTCTCTTTCTCTTTCTGAAGTTTCTACAATTTGTTGATTTTTCTCATTCAATTCATATACCTCTTAACTCTCTGCCTTTGCAGTTCTAGTCTCTCTTTATTTCTTTTGCATTTCCTGGCTTAATTGCTTCAGATCTAACTCCAGCTGTTTTCAATTTATTGTTTAAGCTACGCACTGGTTGAGTTTTTAATTTTAGTGCCTTTGCTTTTTATTTACTGAGATCCTGTTTGTGTAGTTTTTCAAATTGGTCCATTCATTTTAAAAAACAGCTTTTTTAAAAAAATTCATTTCTGTCTTTAATAGTTTGAAATATACTTACCTTATAATCAAATTATCCTATAGTCTGGGTTAATATTTCTGTTTGCTGTTTGCTGACTTTCACTCATGTTAGATGATCCAATTGTGTGTTTTGTAATTTTTCATTGTGAGCTTTTCTTCGCAGTGGCTTTGAGAATCTCTTATGGACTAAACTGAGGTTGTGTCCCTCCAGATTTAGTTTTTGCCTCTGCCAGGTGCCCCAGGGACATCATGAGCTTGTCATTTAATTTTTATGTTAATTTTTAGGCTGGCTGTGGAGGGTAATGTGATTTTTCCAATCTGAAATGGGTCTCGGGTTCATGTTGCTGATTCTCAGTGGAACTTTTTTTTTTATCTGAACCTAGAGAGCAGGAAGAAGAGATAAGCTTCTAGTAGTAGCCTGTGCCTGTGAATGGACTTTCCCCCTAGGCTCCCTTTTTCTGGGTCTGTAGCCATTTAGGGGACTGACCTACCCACCTTACTCCCTCTTGGTTGGGGCTTTCTGTTCCCACCTACATGTTCACTCTTTCTTCTCTTCTAGGCTTTTCCCGTGACATAGTTTCATTTCCACATTTCTAATTTAACCCAATTCAATTCTGTAATTGCATATTAAATACCTACTATGTCCCAGAAACTTAAAGTTGCAGATCTGTCCTGCTGGCTCCTTCAAACATGTGATTGGGATCCTTGGGAGCACTGCACCCCAGCTGTTGTCTCCATTTACATTCCAAGAAATCCCCGAGTTCATTCTTTTTTCATACCTTCCCAGGTGCAGTAAGCAAAAAGATTATGGCTAGATCGTGCATCTCCTCCGACTTCAGCGGGGCAACTTCCTCTGGTTGTATTTTTTTTTTTTTGTCCTTAGATTTGGAGGGGGATCTCACAAATTTGATTTAGCTTCTTTCCAGGTCCACTGATGTTGAGTCCACCGTACCTTTCAGAACACCATTCCATTGTTGCTTTAAGGACAGCTCAGAGCCATAGTGATGTGCTAATTAATGAGAAATCCCCTTGAGTCAAAAGGGAAGGCCATCAACATGCTAATGAGACCAGTTGGAAGGGAGGATTGGACCAAGTAAATTATTCTCTTCTTTGCTCTTGGCAATGCACTAGAATCTGGGAGACTAAAATTCAATGTTTAGTTTAGTGGAGTTTTTGATTTTTGATCTCTCTATGGCTGCCAGAGCTCTTCTACCTGTGATGGCAGAACTTGGAAGGATGGCTAGCCATCAGCTGATGAATAGAAAGAAATCAGCTGATGCCAAGGACAGGCTGTTAAGGCACTGTGAAGAGGCAGGCCAAGGACTAGCACCAGGTGTGGAGGAAGGAGACCCCCATCCTAAGGGTGTTACTTAGCTGTGTGATTTTGGACATATTCTTTAACCTCTCTGAGCCTTGGTGCTCTCCTCTATCAGAGATGTTTCTTCATATCTTCAGGGTTACTGCAAAAGTCACATGAGGTCATGCACAAGAAATGTTTTTTGAGGATTAAACAATGTAAAAGACTAATAGTAACTGATTTGAGAAGACTTTTGAACGACAATGCTTTCAACCAAGGACATAACAAATTATCTTAGCTATAAGGCAGGCTTTTCTGCAGACTCTCAAGGGTTTCCTCCCTCTCCTGTGGGGAAGCTGTTAAGCTGGTTAATTTCAGTTACAGATGGGCCTAACACATATTGGATATGTTTAAATTAAGTCAAACAAGTAAAAATTCATTTCCCTCCTTTTCTGGAAGTCAGGCATGATTGGCACTAACATGGGAGCTCAATAGTTAACAAGCACCAGGGCAGCTCAGGAGGATCCCTGCCTGGGGGTCCTCTACACTGAGGTCTAATCCGTGGTTCACAGGGGCTTTTGGAGAAGGCAGCATGTAAATAAAAAGGTAGGACATGGGCTCATACTTTAAGTGCTTGGAAGAGTACTTTATCATAAGGAGTTTTCAAAGCAAAGGATTTTTAAAAATACTTCTAACCATTAGCTCCATACAGGTTTTGGTTGGACAGTGCATATGTTCATCTTATGAATATTCTAAAATTGGGTCCCTTTGCACATTGAAGCTGTCAAATTAAGAGGTTCTGCTGGGTGGAAGGTGATCAGGGCATTTGCAGGATCCCTGTGAGGGGGATGGGGGGGGGTCCTGGACTCACCCCTCCTTCTCTGCTTGTTTCCCCCAGGGTCAAGGCCACTGGATAGGTCTTGGGGTTTCCTCAAGGGTCGATTTCCCAGCTCTGCCTCTCTCCAGCTCTGGGACCAGGGCCAGTGGCCTGCACTCTCTGCCCTCAGAATTCTCACCTGGAAAACCACGAGATTAAAAAATACCAGACAGAGTGGGTGCCTTGGTGCCTGAAGAATGCTATTGAAGGAAAGAATGCGGAATTCTAATTCCAGGAAGTTATTTTACTGCCTGCAAATAACCGGCTCCAGCTTGTTTCCGGGTGGGGTTGGATGCTCAAAGATTGTGAGCAATGAGCTAGTCTGGAAAGGAAGGAAAGGAGGATCACAAAGTTACGGAGCAAGGAGACTCTGCCAGGAGATGGACTGAGTCGTCTCCTGTGCAAGTGCCAACACTCTCTCTGGCAGGTAGGACTGCATTGTTTCTAAGAGCCAGTTATGGGGACTCCATGCACCCCTGCACCCTCTCTCCTCCCACTTCCTGTGGGACTGGCTGCTCCTTTTGAGGGGCTTGCACATCTGGTTAAGTTCTAGCCTATTTCCCTCTTGGGTAGGAAACACAGCCAAGCCGTCTTAGGATTGCATGTTCACCACTTGAAACTCACAGGTGTTTTGCTGGGGCCAGGTTCTTCTTCACTGAAGAAATAGTCAAAAGGAGAGGGGAGCCTGGGAAGGCTGACATCTGTGAAGTCACCCTTGTCAGCCAGCCAGACTGGAGTGCAAAGGACACTCTGAGCCCACCTGGGACTTTAGGTTAAGTGTTTGGAGGTTTTGACACAACGGAGCAAAAGCTTTGAACAGAACACCATCCCCTTGGGTTCTGTTTGTGCCCGGGGTCAGGAAGTGCAGTGTGATTTTACTTTCAAGGGATGACTGCTGCAGATTCACTCGTGATCCAGTCATTGCCTAAAAACTCCCACCTCCAAACATTGCTGCATTAGGGACCAAGTCTTCAACACATTAGCCTTTGTGGGGACATTGTAGGTTCAAACTGTAGCACTGTGTGAACAGGGAGACCCAGGAGGGAGTGACGAGCCACGCACCACTTGGTCTTGATCTGTTGCTCCCCAGTGGTTAGCGATGCCGAACATCTTTTTGTGAGCTTATTTGGCACTTGGATATCCTCCTCTGTGAAATGTTTCTTCCTGCTCTTTGCCTGTTTTCTAAGTGGATTCCTTGTTATTTTTACTGTTGAGTTTTAGAAATAGATTTATATACATATGAAGCTCGATAAATTATATATATATACATACATAAATTTTATAAACTTTCATGTTTTATAGATTATACATAAAGAAAGTTCTTTACATAGTCTAGAAACAAGCCATTTATGAGACATGTGGTTTGGAAATATTTTCTTTTTATCCTCTTAGCAGGGTTGCTCACAGAATAAAAATTGAAATTTTGATGTAGTCAAATGTATTTCTGTTACTATGACATAATACCTGAGATATGCCAACTTACAAGGTGAAAAATTTATTTTGGCTAACAGTTATGGAGCTTTTGGTCCACAATCTATTGGCTTCTTGCTTTGGGGCCTGGGGTAAGGCATATCATGATGGGAGCAAGTGGTGGAGGAGGCTGCTCACCTCATAGCATTTGGGATGCAAAAAAGAAAGAAAGGGCCTGGAGTCAGAGTACTCCCTTCAAGGGCAGACCCTCAGGGACCTAACCCCTTTTAAAGGTTCTACCATTTCCCAATAGTTCCACTGTCTGGAAAGACACATATCCAAACTATAGCACCTAATTTATCAATATTTCTCTTCTATGGACCTTTGGTGTCATGTGTAAGAAGTGTTCACCAAGCCCTAGTACCTGAAGATTTTCTCATATGTTTTCTTCTAAAAAATTTAGAAGTTAATTTTTGTATAAGGGGGTGAAGCTTCAGTCAGGATTTTTTTTGTTTTGTTTATTTGTAGATATATAATTTCCACTGCACCATTTTTTGAAAAGGCTACCTTTCCTCTGTTGCATTTGTACCTTTGTCAAAAATCAGTTGGCTGTATTTCTGGCTTCTCTATTTTGTTCCACTGATTTATAGGTCTGTCCCTCTGCCCACACAACAAAGTCTTCATTCCTATAGCTATCTAAGACTTCCCACTTTATTCTTCTTTTCAAAATTATTTTTGTTACTGCAGATTCCTTGAGCTTCCACATAAATTTTGGAGTACGTTTGTCTATATCTTCAAAAATTCTTGTTGGGATTTTGATAGGCATTGCATTAAGACTTGTAGACCATTTGGGGATAAAATCGGTACTTTTTGCTAAATGATTCAGTTCAGTTAGGATTCATTTCCATCCATGAATACTGTATGTCTCTGCACTTATTTAGATTTTGATTTCTTTCATCAGTGTTTTGTAATCTTCAGCTAAGTATATGTTGTATTAGGTTTACATGTATTTTAGGACTGAGGCTATAACTCAGTTTTAGAGCGCTTGCCTGGTATGTATGAGGTCGTAGGTTCAATTCTCAGTACTGCAAAAAAAAAAAAAATCATAGCTGTAAGTAGTATTTTATTTTTAGTTTCATTTTCCATGGGTTCATTGCTAGTTGAAATACAGCTGATCTTTATATGCTGATTTTTTATTCTGAAACCTTGCTGAAATTAGTTCTAGGATTTGTTTTATAGAATCCATGAGCCTCTCTAAATTTATCACTTACTAAATATGTTATCTTCCAGTAACTTTATTTCTTCCTTTCTGATCTGTATCCTTCTCCTCCCTGACCCTCTCCTCTGATTTGAACTGGCTAGAACTTCCAGAGTTATACTGAACAGCAGCTGCAAGGGACGTCCCTGTCTTGTTACAATTTTAAGGGGAAAATACTGTCTTTCATCATTAAATTTAATATTAGCTGAAGGTGTTTTGGTAGAAGTTCTTCATAAAGTTGAGGAAGTTCCCCTCTATTTTTTTTAATGTTATTGAGTTATGACAAGTAATTTTCCTGCACCAGTTGACATATGATTTTTCTTCTTCATCTGTTAATATGGTGGATTGTATTAATTGATTCTTGAAGGTTGTATCAGCCTTGCGTACCTGGAATAAAACCCCCTTTGATCATGATATACAATTCTTTTTTAATCTGTGGCTGAATTCTATAATTTGTTGCTGAATTCTATTAGCTAATGCTATGTTAAGGATTTTTATATCTATGTATGTAAGGGATATTGGAATACTTTTCTCTGTGTAGTCATTCTTTGATAGCCATAGGAGATTGGTGCCAGGTCCCTTTTCAGATATCATAATCATCATATGTTCAAGTCTCTTATGAGAAACAACAGGTTATTTGAATACAAACTATGCGTGTCTTTCCATATGCTTTAAATCATCTCTTGATTATTCATAGTACCTAATACAATGTAAATACTATGGAAATAGTTGTTATGCTATATTGTTTAGGGAATAATGATGAGAAAAAAGTCTGTAAATGTTCAGTACAGACACAATTTGTTTTCAAATATTTTAAATCTGTGTTTGCGTGAATTCACAGGCTTGAAACCTTGGATATGCAGGTCTGATTACTCTCTCTGTCTTATTTTGGTCTGGCTTTATAAAGTGAGTTGGGAAATGTTTTCTTGTTTTATTTCCTGGAAAAGATTGTGTAGAACAGGCGTTAATTCTTTTTTTTTAAGTTTCTTTTTTAAATTTATATATGACAGTAGAATGCACTACACTTCTTATTACACATATAGAGCACAATTTTTCATATCTCTGGTTGTATACACAGTATATTCACACCAATTCATGTCTTCATACCTGTACTTTGGATAATAATGATCATCACATTCCACCATCATTAATAACCCCATGCCCCCTCCCTTCCCCTCCAACCCCTCCATCCCCTCTGCCCTATCTAGAATTAGTCTATTCCTCCCATGCTCCCGCTCCCTATCCCACTATGAATCAGCCTCCTTATATCAAAATTTTAAAAAAAATTTGGTTTTTTGGGACTGGCTAACTTCACTTAGCATTCTCTTCTCTAACTCCATCCATTTATCTGCAAATGCCATGATTTATTCTCTTTTATTGCTGAGTAATATTCCATTGTGTATATATATGCCACATTTTTTTTTTAATCCATCATCTATTGAAGGGAAGACTAGGCATTAATTCTTTAGGTATTCAGTAGAATTACCCAGTGAAATAATTTGGCCCTAAAGATTTCCTTTTGGGAGCTTTTAAATTACAAATTCAATTTCTTTAAGAGTCATAGGGTTATTCAAATTATTTATTTCATACTGAGGGTACTGTAGTAGTCTGTGCTTTTTGAGGAGTGGTCTGTTTCATTGAAGTTGTGTTTTTTTTTGGTATGTAAAGTTGTTCGTGTTACTGTTCCTTTGCTGTTCTTTCAATGTCTGTAGGTTCTAGGCCCTGCAGTGACAGCCCTGTTACAGTCCTGATTGGTATTTTCTAACTTTTCCCTTTTTCTTTGTCAGTCTTGGCAGACATTTGTTAATTTTATTGATTTTTTTCCTCCAAGGAACTCATTTTTCATTTCATTGATTTTTCTCTATTGTTTTCTGTTTTCAATTTCATTGATTTCTGCTCTTGCCTTTAGTAGTTTCTTCCTTCTGCTTGCCTGGGGTTTATTCTGCTCTACTTTTTCTAGTTTCTTAAGGCAGATCTGAATTTATTGTTTTCAATCTGCAGTGGTTTGGAGAAGGGTCCCCCAAAGGCTCCCATGTTAAAGGCTTGTCCCCTGCCTGGAGCACAGCTGGGGGGAGGTGGAAGCTCAGGAGGTGAGCCCCAGTGGGAGGTCTTCAGGTCCCTGGGGATGTGTCTTGGAAGGGGACTGTGGAACCCTGGCTCCTTCCTCCTTCCTTCTTTTTGCTTCCTGATGGGGAGGTCTGTGGTTTGGCTCTGCCATGCATTCCCACCATGGTGTGCTGCCTCATCAACGTGGTCGATCGATGATGGACCGTAACCTCGCCAAACTGTGAGCCAAATAAAAGCTTTTCTTCGAAAAGTTGATTATCTCAGTATTCAGTTACAACATTGGAAAGTGACTAACACATCATCTCTCCCTCTTTTCTGATGTAAGGATTTATTGCTATATATTTCTAAGTCTCCTGGTGTTGGCATTTTACTCGTTTGGGGAAATTCTAGAAAATTTTCTTCTCTTTATTTCCCTTTACTTTCCCCGTTTAGAATGTAATTGTCTTAAACATTTTCCCTACATACCTTAAGAACCATGTCAGACGATGATATAATTTCTGCTTCAGCCAATTGGAAACTCAGGATGAGTTTTTCTGTTTACCTATATTTTTACTTTTTCTGTTTTTTTTTTCTTTCTGATTTTTCAAGGTGCCTTCTTTAATCATTTTGTATTTCTTTGTCAAGAAACTTATTGCTCTTTTCTTTCAGCACTTGAAACATATCGAGTTACCTCTTGGGGTTCCTATAGTTTC